GACGGCACTTAACAACAAACTAGGGATAGAGAGGAAGAATGGCATTACTACAGTCTGAACCTTTGACATCAAGGAAGGGAGTGGATCTAAGAATATATGACACCAATTAGTTTTTTAAGGCTGTGACAACCAATTATTTTAAAACATCTCTCTTATTTTTTATGTACTTCTTGTGTTCTGAACTTTTCTTATAATTCTTAAGTATGTTCTTAATATGCATGTTTTGTTCTTTCTTTTTAATTTTATATCCTCCCTGTGCTATTTTACAAGTGCAATGTTAGTCACACTTCTATTTCCTTTCTTGCTGACTTTACTTCCTCATTTAGTAGTTCCTTTAAGTGGCTGAAGGACCCTTGGTGGTGCAGTGGTTAAAGTGCTTGTCTACTAACCAAAAGGTTGGCAGTTCAAACCCGCCAGCCACTCTGTGGGAGAAAGGTGTGGCAGTCTGCTTCCCTAAAGATTTATAGCCTTGGAAACACTGTAGTGTAGTTTTACTTTGTTGTAGTGCCTAAGGCATTTGACTGCTAAGCAGAAGGCTGGTGGTTCAAACCCACCAGCCACTCCTCAGAACAAAGACTGGGCAATCTACTTCTGTAGAGATACTGCCTCAGAAACCCAAGGAGGGGTCAGTATGAGTCGGAAATGACTCAACGGCAGTTGAGTTTGGTTTTGGTAGGGTCTCTATGAGTCAGAATCAACTTGATGGCAGCGGGTTTAGTTTTTTGGATTCTAAGTGGCTGCCAACCATGTCCTCAAAACTTCTCAACAAGGCATTAGCTAAATCACTATCTAGTGGCAAAAAAGATTATTGCAGGTATATAACCAAATTTGTGAACATGGAATGTGTCACCGTTGATTTGTCAAAAATAAGATTTCTAAGAATGCCATATGGCAAAAGTGGAGGAGTATCTGTATTCTGTTTCATTAGATTTTATTTCATGTAAGCCATTATTAATGATTGATCCATAAAACCAAAAAAACCAAACACACTGCTGTTGAGTTGGATCTGACTTATAGCTACCCTTCGTTGGGTTTCCAAGGTGATATCACTACAGAAGTACATTGCCCAACCTTCCTTCCAAGGAGTGGATGGTGGGTTTGAACCACCAGCCTTCTGCTTAGCAGTCAAATGCCTTAGGCACTATGCCACCAGAGCTCCTGATTAATCCATATTATAGTATAAAAATCCCAAGTAATAAGTAGTCACATCTTTAAAAAGATACACAGACTGATTCATATTCTGGATTAGTTTGGCATTTAAGTTTAGATTGGAGAGAATATATTCAAGCTTTATAACTGTTTACTGGGGATGCTTTCAAAAGAAACGACAATCACAATTTTTTTTTTATTGTGAGTTGGGTGAAAGTTCACAGAGCAAATTCGTATTCCGTTCATCACTTCATACACATTTGTTCATGACATTGATTTCACTTCCCATGACCTAATAGGTCTCTTACCACTTCCTCCCTGTGGTTGCCTTTTCCTTGTGTCCTTCTTTCCTATGCATTCCTGTCCTCTCAGTTTTCGCCCTTTGCAAATGCTGCCCTTCTGATCTCCCATGGCTGATTGTTCTAAGGAGTATA